CTACCTTAAAGTGTACTTGCAAGGGTTAAGGGTGGTGGTGGTTATGGGATTATCATAAGGAGTTTCAAGTTGGTGATGCAAGGAGGGGAGGTTCTTGGTGACTTTTGCCTCGAAGCACAACTTACACGATTTCATAGACAAAAGTTCATGGAACTTTCTGAACAATCTAATCTTGTTTCAAATGTATGTGAAAGGAGGGGTGTTGGAAGAATATAAGTTTACCCACTTCAACATTTAGGTACAACTTCATGGAGTCCCATCAAAGTAGATGAAAAGCTCTATGGCCAAGAAGATTGGAGTGAGATAGAGGAAGTGGTAAATGTTTTGAAGAAGGAGAAGGATGCTATGTGGTGCTACATCATGCAGATTAGAATCCAACTAGGTCACTAAAGGTGAGATATCCATTTTATAGAAGTTGTAGAAAGACCCTCTTTGATTGGAATTTAGGTATGAGTGTTTTTCCCAATTTTCTGTTACTTTTGTAGGGGATGTTTGGAACCGTGGCCGTTTTTCCCTTTATGCCCTTTTCTCTTCATCTTCTATATCGATTTATTCTCTCATGTTTTTCAAAGCTTAAATTTAGGTAGACTTTGTGGTTATACAATTGGTAGAAACTCATTGTTGATAGGTGTGCCCAAAATTGAAGTCTTGGAAGAGTACTTGTTATAACATGTTGGAAGAGAAGTTAATTTTGAATAAATCCACTATTACCTCCATCCCATCTTATTTTATGGCGATATGGATGATTCCATCTTCCACTTGCAACAAGATCAATGGGATTGCATGGAATATCTAGTAGCTAGGGTTTTATCCTAAAAATCCAGTACAAGAAAAATGATCTAGGCCGACGATCACAAAAGAACCGCTGCCTTAGGTATATTTGTTTGTTAAAGGCGGCGGTTTATAAGACCGCTGGCTTAGAGTTTTTCTTTTTTTTAATAATAATAGCAAGTAGCCCAGGCCCCTACTTCAACCTAAAGCATGAAATAATAATACGTCATGGACATAATTCACAAGAAAGAAGGTAGGCCACAATTGAGAGGACACAACCAAGGGATTAGCACCAAAATCAGCATTAGTAAAAGGAGAGGGATATATATATGCTCACAAGAATGAGAGATGAAATTCCATATATGCAAGTTACCTGATAGTAAGAATCTCAGAAGCCTTGACCATGAGATATCCTCATCATTTCTATTGTTTAGATTGTACCAAGAATCTCCTAGGAAGTGCCCTTGGCTTTGGAGAAAATGCTCCCTACAGAGTACATAAAAAGAAGGCAATATAGAAGGGGCAACTGATTTAGTCCTGACAAAATCTAAGGAATAATTTCTTCCACCAGCTGATTCACAAGAATATCTTAATGTAGTCTCCACAGTTGTTGGATCAAAAAGCATGAAGCATGAAGAAAATGGCTTGATAGCAGCAACTAAGAAGTTACAGGGAAGAAGTTTCATCTTGCATGTATCTGATGAATTTAAAGAGGTTCAAGTACAAGAAGCTTCAACAAAAACCTTTATCACTTCTACTAATATCTGCATTCACAACAAACTAAAAAACATCAAAATCTCTTGTAGTACAAATAATGGACATCAATAAAAAATTTTGTTCCTTAGCACTTGAGAAATCCTTTACAACCCTTTGAAGTTGGTTGAACAGTCTTGATGTACTGAAAATGAAAGAGTAGTTTTTCTTTCAACAAGCAGTCTTCTCACATCAATGCTCAAACAATTATTGACGATTAGCCTTGTATGGTGGTGGAGCCCATTTCTTCCTTCTCTCAGCCAATTCTTCATTTGTTAGTTGGACATCCATTCTTCTCTTCATAACATCTATGGTGATGATACCACCATTTTCAATCAAACCAATTGGACCACCTTCCTTAAAAAGTATTATAACCTATTATGTTAGCCAAAGAATGGTATAAGATCCATCTTTTACTTCATTTATTTATTAGTATGTTTGCAATTTTTGGTGGGTGTGGCATGCGAGAGAAACCACTTCAAAAATTAATAAAGTGATTTCTAACTTATCAAAATAGCTGTTTAGTCCCTTTGCTGTGATTTAAAATACTTGGAATATATGAAAATCTTAGCAGCAAAATATCATAATGGATGATTCCTCCAAAATTAGCTTATGAGTTTAAGGAAGAAAGAAAGAAGTTTTGTAGATCACCTCTTCTTTTGATACCTAAATGCATGAGGACTGGCTAAGGTCTTCCATAGCATGGAGTGGGGGCCTTAACCCAAAGGAAACTAGGTCTTGTTCTACAAATTAGAATGTTGATCCTTCGATAGGAAATGGAGTAACAGATACAAATGGGCCAAAATAGAAGGAAGAGGTTGAATGCCACATAGGCATCATGATGCCAGTTGGGATGAGCATAGCATGGTCCCATATCAACAATTCAATGTTTCAAACTTTAGTAAGATACAAACAAAAGGCATCTTTTGACTCCTTTCAAATTAACTTCATCAAGTACTTTGTGAAAATGTAAGTCACTTGATGAAAACTTGCTAGCAACTAGAGGTGTAAAGTGGGTCGTGCCGTGTTGCCCCTAGGCCATGCTGCCCTCTCCAGTGAATAGTTTGGAGGTAGGCTTGGCATGATCCATGGCCCAAGCCCATGTGGGCCCATGTCGTGCTGCATGCCGGGCTGGTCCATGGGACAAGCTTTGGCCCAAGCCGGGTCATGGACCGGGCCAAAGTTATTTTTGCCTATTTATTTAAAAAAAATTGAAAAAAACTTAAAATTTTATTTTATATGAATTTTGATGTATATAATTTCTTATATATACAATAATTAAATAAATTAGTATAATAAAATTGAAAACAATTGTTAATTTTTTTAATATATTATATACTATATATTATTATATAATTATAATTTATATAATATATTATATATAAATATATGGGCCGTGCTGGCACATGGGCCGCGAGTGACACAACCCACTTGGTCGTGTCGTGTCGGCCCGGCCCATGGACCTAAAACCATAGGCCCAACACGGCACGGACCATCATGCCGAACCTAGCACAACCCGCGTGCCAATGTGCCGGGCCGCGGGTGGCATGACCCGATTTACACCTCTACTAGCAACAAGACAACCATGGACAATAGGAAGTAAACATTGAGAAACTGAAACCCATATTGTTGATGCATAACATCAGAGAACAGGGAATCTTACCTGTAGACAGATTACTTGTATATATGGAATATCAACTCTCATTCTTGTGAGCATATATATATATGTATAGTATATAATATATTAAAAAAAGTACTCTCCTTTTAATATATCCTTAGGTTGGCATTTAATATCACTCTCCTTTTAGTAATGCTGATTTTGGTGCTAATCCCTTGGTTGTTTCCTCTCAATTGTGGCCTACCTTCTTTCATGTAAATTATGTCCATGGCATATTATTATTTCATGCTTTAGGTTGAAATAGGGGCTACTTGCTATTATTTATTATTATTATACATATACAGAATTAAAAATATTATATATAAGCTTGATTAGACTCATAATCCTCACGAGATGAGCTTCATAAATCATACTATTTGAGCTTAGTTGGATTAACGATTGGGCTCAAGTTTGCCTCGAGGCTCAATTTGGATTGAGACAAAATGAACTTTTTGCAAGCTGAGCTCGAATGGCTCGTAGTAGCTTCATTTGTATGCACCCTTTGTTGAGACAGTCACTTCGCATTAACTCTAGAAAAAGAGGCACAAGCAAGATCAAGTCCATATAACTGTAGGCTCTCTATGGTATGGCTAGGGGCCTTCATGTGCTGACATTGCACCTTGCAAAGAAGTTGCTGTATGAAAGTCGTTTCATTTGACAAGGAGCTTTGATTAAGCTGCTTTCAGTAAGCCATTTTGAAGGAAGCTACTAAAGGGCTTGTTTATGAGGACTGAATTGAAGATTCACTAAGCTGATTAACAGCTGATACAGACTCTCTGGATTTTTCACCAAACATGGCTTATAGGCTGTCATTATTGGGATCCTCAGAAAGCTAGAAGCTGCTGCACTTCAGCCTTCCAAAATGGCACCTAGTAGCTTCTTTACACTTCAAATTGGCTCAAATCAGCTCAATCAAAGCTTCAGCCATCCCAAATAGGTCATTGGAGAGCATCATGTAGCAAAAGGAATACAAAAGCTGTAGCTTCCCCTCTTTGACCAGTTGTCGCCTTTCCTAGGTAGTGGGTATTAAACCTGTTCATGGGCCAGACTTGCTTTTGCCAAAATTTGAATGGGCTCGGCCTGAAGCCCTAGCTTAATACAGTGTAAAGTCAGGGCCCCTGAACAGGTCTAGTGGATGCTGACTGCTAAGCTTTTAACTCTTTTTCTCCTTCTCTCTCCCCTGCAAGCACATAACATAATCTCCAAAAGTTGACAAATTAGGAATAGGAACAAATCTTCACTCTTTCCCTTAGGCTCAGTTTGGAAGGAATACAAATGCAAATATGTACAGTACAAATACATACAAAATACATAATTTTGCACTCTATATATTCGTATTTATACTCCTTCTAAACTGAGCCTTCCCTAAGGTTATGTTTGGTTTGAAAGAAAAGGTAAGAAAACCTTTACAAATCTTGTATACATTTTCTTATCTTTTCCTTCCTTTTCTTATTTTCTCCTTTAAACCAAACACAGCCTTAGGGAATTCAAACGGAGACAGAGAATTAGGGTTGATGTAGACTGTAGAATCAATGGTTGGTCTATATATATTCTACGCCTTTGCAATCTCCATTCCTTTCATGTGGTTGGAAATCGCCGGATCACTGAAGAGACTCCACGTTCAAATGTTTCCCTTATTTTCTTTTTCTCGACGGTCGTCCAGGAACATTACATACTACCACCTTCATCATTTTGACACGTATGTTATAGATCCCAATCTAACGTCTGCTGTTTTTCATCACAAATAACCAATTTTGTTTAAATAATTAAATGGAGTTTAGCTTTTACAGCACCATATCGCGCCACGTGCAGGTCCACCGTCCAAACCTTTTCAACGAAAACTCTTCACAGGGCGACTGAAAGCCTCTCAGATTCTGATTCTGACCAACTGACCTTCACCATACTCTCTCTTTCTCTTTCTCTCTCTCTCTCTCTCTCTCTCTCTCTCTCCTGCAATTGTACTCTAGCTTAGTCCTCAACAGATAGAAAGGGAGAGGGCGTTTTGATTGTTGGATTTTCGGTTTTGCTATGGACGCAGCAGCTCAGCTCGTCTACTGTGGAATCGAGCCGCTCCGGCGCACACTAACGTCTCGCACTGGCCCTTCCCATTCAAAGAAGAGAACCAGTAATAACCGATGCTTGTTTCCCGCCAAAACTGCGTCTCGGAGACGGAGCTTCGTTGTTGCTGTCGCCACTGAGCCCAAGCCGGTCGACACCAGACCTTCCAGTTCCAGAACTCCACCGCCGAAGCCGGTTAATGGAGTTTCTACGGTAAATTGAATTGAAAAGTGAATTTTATGTCGGAGTATAGTTCTGAGATTAAACGATTCTGGGATTAATGTTTATTGCTTTGTTACTGATTTTACTGTTGTTTTGATTCTGGGAATCGGCAGAAAATGGGGAATGTTTCACAGGAGATTAAGAGAGTAAGAGCACAAATGGAAGAGAATGAACAGTTGGCGATACTTATGAGAGGTCTCAGGGGTCAGAATTTGACAGACTCGCAATTTGCGGATGACAATATTAAGCTTCGGCTAGTCGAGGTTTGTGTTGTGTCGTCTGTGTTTTGGATATATGATTTTTTTTTATTTTTTTATTTTATTTTCCCGTTTAGATCTCATTTTATTTCTTCAGTGGGAATTGGTATATGCATTTATTTCTGAATTTCTAGGTTTGGTTGAAACTTTGAAGAAAGAATTTGAGAAAAAGTTCTGGGGTCTTGTTCTTTTATGTGTTTTGGGTACTACTGATATTGGAAAGGAGATGTGATTTCTTTACCTAGATCTTCACCTTCTTACTTAAGGAAATTGCTGTGAAACTAAATTAGCTTAAAGGATGATTGTGGAGAAGCAACATGTACTCCTTGTTGTTAGGGAGGTAGAACCATGGCACCGACCGTGAACACCTGTACATATGGATTTCAAGGTCAACCATTAGCATGCCTAGACTATGGGTTGGGAGGAATGAGTTGTTCTGAATTCATTCTTACTGAAGTAATATTGTTATGAAGACAGGTTTTCTTTGTTTTGGGCTTAGCCTCCTTGAGGTCTTTGCTCAGTGTCGTCTCACCTTGAGGCTGTAAAGCTTTGTACTCTCTTCTTTGATCCAAAGGGCAAGTTGATTTCCTATGACATCCTGTAGGTTGCTCTCTTTGCGAGATTTTCTTGCACATCATTTTAATGCTTTCCTGTGAGAACAGGGAATCTTAAAGATTTTTTCTGATCACCAGGTTGTTTTTCTTTTAGACAAGGAGTCAATTTTCTGGTAAAGCTAAGGGAGTTTTGCTTTTCAGGTTGACGAAAGCTGTGATTCTTTGCCTTTGGTTTATGATCCTGTTAGCATTTCTTCATACTGGGGAAAGCGGCCTCGTGCTGTTGCAACACGCATTGTCCAGCTACTCTCTGTTGCTGGTGGTTTTCTTTCCCGTCTTCTCTTGGATGTGATAAACAACAAGGTCAAAGAGGTGAGTGTTTGATGCCATGCTTGCATGCTTTCATCTATTGATGCTTCCATTGGAACGGTTGACATGTTCTAGGCTTCTAGCAAATTGTGGTTTCTCAGCTTACATTTAATATATCATATCAAATTTTTAATCTGGTGCTGTGTTGTATTATAAGTTACTACTGATTACGACTTTAAATACTCTAGTAAAAAAATTATTTTTTACCCTCCCCTGTAACCAAGGTTCAAAGTATTGATACAATACACGTGTATCGTTGGGTATCTGATACACCTGTTTATAAGTGTTCAGGAACCCAACTTTTTATTGATTAAATAATATAAAAACATGTATAAAAATGAAATTTGGAAAAAAAACTAAAAAAATGCGTGGCTGAAAAAGTATTGATACACCCCTGCTGATACATTTGGGTGTATCAATACTTTAAAGTTTAAACCATGCCTGTAACCAATTTTCATGAATCTTCTAGTCATCTGTAAGCTTCTTCAGTGATGCTAGCTGTGTTGCATGGACTTGTTTAACTGGATAAAGACCTTTTTGCATTGCAACATGTTTCCGATTATGGTGTGACACTAATGAACACATAGAGACACTGTGTAATAGTCCATTACCTGTATCAATGCAACATAAGTTGGAAGAAACTGATATGGTAGTAGCTCAAATATATGGTGCTGTCAATATATTCTTTAATCAATAAAATCTGTATTCAATGAAAAAATCATACAAACATAAGATGATTGAACATCCTTACAAAAACAGAATGTGATTTATCCCTTTCACAATAAAGGGAACCAACCCCTTCCAAAAATTCTATTTCAACACACTTAAATTCTTTCTGCATGAAGGCATCAAGCACCATTTCCTTAGGATAGAGAGATAAGAAACTCCTAACTTGAAGGACTTCCTATTATCCCCAAGCCTTCTTTTGTTTCTCACTCTTGATACTTTCAAAAAAAAAAAAAAAGAAAGAAAAAAGAAAAAAAAGAAAAAAGAAAAAAAAAAGAGAAGGTTCCACCATAAAATTCAGTAAACCAAATAGCAAAATTTAGTTGGCCATGAAAATCCAACTGTATAATCACAAAGTAGATCGGAGAACCAGAGTAGGTTGACAAGAAGTCCAATGAATTATCATACAGGGAACCAATCATGCCAGAAGGCCAGGGCAGAGCAGAACTGAGTCACCCAGTTGGAGCTACCCACCCAAGAGCCAACTGTGAACTTTAAATCCATTTATGCATGGGGAATTGGGGATTCTTCTTCAGCACATACCATCAAACTTCCTCTGTAAAGCTGGGTTCCAATCAGAAGGGATATTAGGCATTTTGTTGAACACATTACAGCCAATTGAGGACTCATATCCTGGGTTGATAGCTTGATTAAGATATTCCTGTACACATAAGAAGTTTTTCAAAAGTACTTTCAAGGAAAACACCAAAAAATATACCTGTTCATTAGCAGCTGACTTTCTAGGCATTTTGCTGAACGAGTAACTCATAAACTAACCTATCAACAATGAAAATAAAAACTGACCATCAGATTAGTGCCCACTGTCCATTTCAGTCATTTTCTTGTCTTTTGATTCCATATAGCCCAAGCAGAACTTTAGATTAATACCTTGTCTTCTTCTGCAGTCAAATAAGAACTCTGGAGAAAAATAGAGGATCCAAATGGTGTCCCTAAACAACACCCAGAAAACACTTTACTGTCGTGATTTAAGATGCATCCGAGGTAAAAAATTCCCTGGTATTTAGTGCTTTTGAGGTGGCACAAAATCTACAGACCCTTCTGTTGAAACTGGAGCACCAAATGATCAATTTTTTACATTAAAGTCGGTCGGATTTTCTGAAGCTCCTGAACATTAAAAATGACCGAACCATCTCTTGGCTCACTTCAGAAAATTACAATAAACATGTTTTTTTAATACTTAGAATAATGTTCCTGACCAAACAATAATAGCAAAGTTGGATTATTTCTACTCAATCTAGCTGCACCTTTAGTCTTTAACAATGTCAACTTTAGGCCCAGAAAGATCCTGTAAGCATCAGAATACTACATCAAACCAACTGAGCTTCACTATAATAGCAACCAAAGTATTTGACACATTGGAATCCGAATCCCCAACTTAAAACCATCTTAACCTGGAATGAATGAGTCATCTAGGTAACACAGAGTTAACAAGCAGAAGCTAGAGACCAACTAACTGGTACAAAAAAGCATAACTGGAACTATGGCTATGGAAGAACAAACCAGAGAAGAACAAAAACACAAATTTTATGGTTTAGCTTGGTAGCCTACATCTACAGTAGAAGGTGCTTGACTTCACAGCATCAGAAAAATAGAAAGATATCTGTCCTTAAAGGTCAGTCTACTCTCTCTCTCCCCCTCTCCCCTCTTTCTTTCTCTACTTAACAATAGCCAAAAACATATGATGGCTTAAATAAATCTCAACAAATAAAAATTTTGAAATTATATAATAGCTCTCATTTAAACCTATATATCCTAAGGGGCAAATTGCATAATACCCTTGCACAGAAACATGAACCCATTATGAAAGGAAAGCATGGAATAGATCTGGATTGGAATCTATAACCCCTGTAGTTTCCAGTAACCCCGTGCTCTACATTTCTCCCCTCTTTTTTTTGAAGATAAATAAAGAAGAAAGTTTTATTGCTAAAAAGGAAAATGCATCTAAAATAGGTGACACGTGGTCACCCCATCCCTCAAATACAAAAGGAGAGGAAACATAAGATATCAAACTCCAAAGTACAAAAAGCATAAACAAAAAACTTCTATTAATCATTCAGAGTACACCAAAAGTTGGCACYGAAGTTTTCCTTCTTTAGTCCTTGAAAATCTGGAAGAAGCAGCACCCAGCCAATAACTGGAGAACTGATTGCCGCCCCAACTTCTCCCTTCTCACCATAACCTGAGACGAATGGTGGATAAATCCATGCCATCTGGCTTGCTAGACAAGCCACATATAAACAATTGCAATTATAGATAACCTCCCAATATAAGATTCTGGATATAAACCCAGAAATTACAAATATATCAAAACTTCCTCTAATATCCTTTCTGAAAGAAAACCCAGATGCAACCATATCTCAACATGCATATATACAAGATGACACTAACTTTGTACCTCACAGTTTCTGCTACTTAAAAAACAAAAAGAAAACAATGGTAGAAAGGTTTTACTTATTTTTGTGTGTTTGTTTGTGTGTGTGAGGGGGGGGGGGGTGGAATATGAGCATTTCACCTCCTTCAAGATTTCCTTCCTATTTCAATTTGTGCTTTTTAATCCATGCACCCAACTAATTAGGCCATTAACTATTTCAACTGCATTCCTGTTTGTGCCCATTCAATTTGTATTTTTTTTTCATATATTCTCTGCTTCTTTTGTGCTAGAATGAAGTTGCACGAGCCATTGAATTACGGGAGATTGTAACTTCTTTGGGTCCAGCATATATAAAACTTGGACAAGCATTGAGCATTCGACCAGATATACTATCACCTGTAGCAATGACTGAGTTGCAAAAACTGTGTGATAAGGTAAATGTATTACATTGTCTTGACTATATGCATGAAACTTGAATCAATTTTGTTAGTAAAGTTATTATGTTAAATAGGGTTTAGTTTACTTATACCATAAAACACTGTTTTAAAACCGGATCGGATGGTTGGACCGTTCGACCTAGGAACCAGTCATAGTTCCGGGTCCGATTTTGGGTTGGACCGCTTTTTATAAAAAAACGTTGACTCTGTCAAAATACCGCTGACCCGGGCAGTTGAACCGCTAAACCGTTCGACTCGGGCAGTGGTTTGTGGGTTTTTGGTTGATATGAATTATTTGTAAAATTGACAATTTGAAAATTTTCCTTTCACATATAAAAGCTGGGCATTATCAATCAATGTCACACTCTCTCTCTTTCTCCCTCCCTTGTTCCCTCCCTACCCCCTATTGTATCAAATATTAATGTCTCTTCTCTCTCTCTCTCTCTCTCTCTCTCTCTTCCTCCCTACCCCCCTATATTATTCTGACACTTTGATGCTATTTCTCTGTCACCTGACTCACCTCTCACATCTCACCTCTGACCTCTCCCCCCTAGTTCCCTATCTCCTAATACAATTAACACATAGGCTTTTAAGGCTTTTTTAAGCATCAATTTAATGGAACCCACTTTTAAGCATCAATTTTAATCAAATCCGCTGGAACAAAAGTTATAAATTAAAATGTGAATATAATATGGGGTTTGTTTCTCAAAAATTTAATGTTACGGGTCAAACCATTCGACCTGGACGGTTGAACCGCTAACCTTGGCATAAAGTTCGATGTGATTCAGACCAATAAAATTAGCAGAAATATTTAGATTAGAGCAGAAATAAGGAAGGAAGAAGAGGAAGACAGCAAGAAGAAGAAGGAAAAATGGAGAAGAAAGGAGAAAGAAAAGAGGAGTTTGATAATCTCCTCTTTCCCCTACTCTAATCTTTTTATTAAACTTACTCAAGTTACATAATTTACAAGGAGGCCCTTAAGTAGGCGTCCACACCAGCAATACACTTAAAAAACAAAAACAGAAGCTAAAGGCCCATAAAGAAAGAARSYCCAATAAGAAAAYATAACAAGAAGGAACTAATAAGAATGACACTAAAGGACTAGGGCCCATTTGGCCCAGTCTCTCTACAGTTCCGTTTCGGGGTTGGTTTTTAAAACTTTGGCATAAAGTTCTAAGCAGAGAAGTGAAGAAGATTTCAATTTCTATTATGATATTTTTCTGACATAAAAATAGAAAAATTTTCTATTTCTATTTTCATCATGATGTGAAATATTGAAGCAATCCTGACCTAGAGCTTCTTTCATAGGAATAGTAGTTTCATGTGATGATATTTTTGATCAGATCAAGACATCCACTTCTGGAAGAGTTTTTATGAAGATATTAGAAGAATAGAGAGAAGGGGTCAAAACCAAAAGAAAATGAAGGAGCTAAACCCTCAGAGTGTTTTACTTTCATACTCTGCTTGTTCTGCTTCCATGCATGTTGCTTTTGCTTGTCATTAGGCATTTGTTATCATGTGCTAATTATGAATTTAATCACCACCATTCCCACTGTTAGCTAGTAAATTAACATGCTTTCAAATTCTTATTTCAATGCCTCAATCCATATCCTTTTTGACTACCTCCTAGAGAAAAAGGAAAAACAAAAAGAGTTCCTTGTCCTGTATGGATGCATTCCTTGTTATAGGGTTCCAGCAATGACATTTCTCTTTAGACAGATTATCTTAAAGTACTCTGCCTCTTCCTTCTTTTCCTGATCCTATTAAAGCCATTCATTGGTTACTGTCAATGCTCAAATGACATTTCTCTTTAGACAGATTATCTTAAAGTACTCTGCCTCTTCCTTCTTTTCCTGATCCTATTAAAGCCATTCATTGGTTACTGTCAATGCTCACCTGATTCTTCCTTCTCTAATATTGCCACTTCTGAATATCTAGCATATTAGCTACTTTCATCAATGAACATGCTTTTTTTGGTTGAACAAAAAATCATAAGTAGAATTAATGCTTTATTGACAAAATTTTTTGAAAGATAACTACATTATGAATAATAGATCATGCCATGATTATTTTGAAAGTACAATGGGTTTAAATTTATAGTAATCCCTTGACCTTTCATGGTACTATTGTTGAAAGGTCTTCCTTTGAAGTGGTTGGGTGAACTTATGGGGCATAGCCCTATTAGAGGTGTCCATGTAAAGATTCTGCATGTAAATAAATCTCTTATAAAGGATAATGTACTCATTATGGTACAGTGCATCTATTTCCGACCTATCATTAGTTTGTTAGGAATGTATACCACCAGAATCGTTTACCCAAAATCTGCAATAATCATCATATTGGTTATATTATAGCTTACTTGTGGACAACTGGACATACTGCTTTCTTTACCTTTTTTTCCTTTTTTTGTTGATTAAACACTGCTTGGTGATATTTGAAGGTCCCGTCATTTCCAGATGATGTAGCTATGTCCCTTATCAAAGAGGAGCTTGGTCAGCCATGGCATGAAATCTATTCTGAACTTTCTTCCTCCCCTATCGCTGCTGGTAGCTTCATTTCTAAGAAATTTTTATTTGTTTTTTCCCTTTTTTGTTTGTGTTTGGTCAACTTGATTTTAGCAATTATTTGATTTGTTGCAAAAATGGGTAATTGTTGATATTTTTTTCCTATTGTTGTGGGGTGTCTTTATACAGCATCTCTGGGTCAGGTATACAAGGGCCGCCTAAAAGAGAATGGTGATTTAGTGGCCGTTAAGGTACAACGGCCTTTTGTTCTTGAGACTGTGACAGTTGATCTATTCGTCATCCGGAACTTGGGTTTGTTTCTTCGAAGGTTTCCTCAGGTAACTTGTGTTCAGATTTTTTTTAGATTCAACAATTTTCACTAGTTGTTTTTGTTTTTCTTTAAATAAAATAAATAGTTAAAAGGCCTATGAAACAAAGAATGTAGTGCCAATTACGTCTTCTTATCTTAGGTAGGAAGATGGCAAATAAGCAGATGCTTTAGCTAAACAGGGGGCAAATAGGCAGCAATTATTTTGCGCTAAATTGTAAGGCTGGGTTTGGGGATTGCAGTGTAGTTGTAGCTGGATAATCCTATGACGTGGGTAACTTACCCACAGAATTGTAACCTCAAGTTTAACAAAATGTTCTAATAAAGTTTACCTTTACTGATCAAAAAACAAAAAAAAAAAAAGTCTTCCTACTTTTGTCCTTTTTTCTTATTTTTCTTAGTCTTCTCCTCTTTGTTTCTCAACCTTTTCAGATCTCTGTTGATGTTGTTGGGCTAGTAGATGAATGGGCTGCTCGTTTTTTTGAGGAACTTGATTATGTTAATGAGGGTGAAAATGGATCACGTTTTGCTGAAATGATGAGAAAGGACCTTCCACAGGTGAATTCCTATCCTACTAATTGTCTTACATTATTCTGCCATGAATAGATTGAGATGCATTTGATCCGTGTCAATTTGTCACATATATTTGGAGCTAACTACTGTTTCTGAATAATTCAATAATCTTCTGCAATTTCCTTTTTAAAAAGAACCATTAAAAATTTATAATATCTCCTTGTATCTTGCGCTCCTTATTTCTTTCTTCTTCTCCTTTCTCTTTTTTTTTTTTCCAGATTACTGACCAAGTTCTCTTCCTAGCAGAAAAGGGGGAAAAAAAGAAAAAAGATATAATCTGTTAAAGGACATTGCCAGGAATAAATAATTTGTAAATTTGTTTCTGATCTTCTATGGCACACAATTTATAGATATTTAATTCTCTTGAAATATGTAATACAGGTAGTCGTACCTAAAACGTACCAAAAATATACTTCAAGAAGGGTTCTGACAACAGAATGGGTAGAAGGAGAAAAGCTATCACAGAGTACTGAAAGTGATGTTGGAGAACTGGTCAATGTTGGTGTAATATGCTATCTTAAGCAGGTAAACTACAATATTCATTCACTCATGCAAGAATTTGCATAAAGATACTCACCTAAAAAAGCCTTATCCCAAATTGTTGGGCTAGGCTGCTGTTCTACCTTATTGAGTCATATTCTTCCATCAAGTTCATTCTGAAGCAAGGTAAGGTAATTGAGCTCGAAGAACTACCAAGGAGTATGCAAAAAAATTTCACTGATCCATATTCTGGAACGAAATCATGAGTCTTCCAAGTGTTTTTCCCACTACTTCAACCATTTACTCTTAAACCTTCAGTATTTTTCAGAACCCTCAGGCCTCAACTGCTATCAAATCAGTCTTTGCTGGTATTAAATGATCATTTTTTTATTGGTAATGTTGAGAACCTCCTTGCCTTGATTATCATCTTACACCTCATTCTCACTGGATACTTATTCCTCCCAATTTCAACTTTCCATCTTTGGGATACTTTTCAGTGAAAATAATGTCATTTAATTTTGATTGCTCAGAAGTTCCTTAATATGTTGCTTATTTTATTGAGGTGCTGCTATTTGGATTTGCAGTTACTTGATACTGGCTTTTTCCATGCTGATCCACATCCTGGGAATTTAATCCGTACTCCAGAGGGGAAGCTGGCTATACTTGACTTTGGTAACAATCTAATCTATATGATTATACGGTGAAAGTTCATATTTTCACATGGCTATCAGCAAAATTGGTGTAAACGTGTTTGAGTTGATCTCTTTTCCCCTAAGGCTCTGTTTGGGAAGAGTGCAAATACAAATGCTTTCATTTTCATGACCTGTGCATTATTTGTATTTGCACTCTTCCCAAATGGAGCCTAAGGCTCTTTTTGTTTGCAGTGCAAATTTTGTTTCTATTGGTGTGCATGGGAATGCAAATGGATAGTATAGATTTTGGTTTACTTTTAATTTAGGTTTGACTTTGTTTTGTTTGTTTCTTAACAGTAAAATGGAAAGTAAAATGATGTGCTCCCCACTTTATATGAAAGAGAAAGAAGGTAGGAGGAAGATTGTATTTTTGGGGGGAGTTAAGTAGGAAATAAAATTTTGTGGTTCCCACTTTACATGAGAGAGAAGGAAAGTGGCTCAAATTTTGCATCAGTTTTTTGGATGCAAAATTTGCATTGCCAATGAATGCAAATGAGACAAAAAGTTTAAATTTTGCATAAGGTAGGAGTAGCAAATATTAGTTACAAAAAAAAATATATATGCAAAGCTGAACTGAGTGCAGAATTTGCATCCAGTTCAGATTTGTGCTGCAAATAGAGCCTAAAAGTTTTTCTCCTCGTCTTCTAATTCTATTTTGTTAAGTAACATATTTATCGTTTCTGTCATGGTACTGTTAAAGGTGTTTAATCAGGGGTATGATTGTAATTTTCTTTAATTTAAGAGTGGTCCAGCATGTAATATAATTACCACTATCGATACAAAGGAGTCTAGGTTGACAGGACTGTTAGATTTGAAGTCCCACAATTTCTAGATCTCTCCATTCTTCTTCCTCTTCTCCTAACTTCTTTCTTTTGTCTTATTTTTTCTTCTTTCTACTTTCTCCACTGTTTAGTGGTTTATTCAAGATTAGCTGAAGAGTTAATACGATAATATCTTTTTGTTTAGATGGATCACAAACTCTATTTAGGAATGCAGTGGAGGTATGACAACTTTTAAGAAGCCCCCACAACCAGTCATTCCCCTCAAGAGTGATTTGGAGCGCTCTCTGGTTCCATCTAACGTGGGCTTCCTCTGTGGTCAGCTGCTGCTGCTGCTGCCTTGGAGAAGTGTCTTACCAAGGCTTCTTTGCAGAACAGAGGTTTGGAGATTTCATATCAGTCTTGTGAGTTATGCAACCTGGACAAGGAGAGTTTTAATCGTCTTTTCTTTCACTACCAGTCAGCTTGTAGGATTTGGTGGAGTTACAAGGTACTATGTGAAAGAGATGAGAACAAAAAGAAAAGAAAAAGAAGARAAGTGTTTTGTTGAGAGAATGAGGTGTGCTACTGTTCACACCTAGAAATTTGATATTTAAACATAATAAGTAAATTACAAAAAAAAATCCATGACTAGGTGCCCAAATACAAAGACATATAAAAGGACAAAAATGCCCTTACACTCTCAACACTCCCTCTCAAGCTGAGCATAGATATTTATCATGCCTAGCTTGTCCAAATTGTTGTCAAGTTTTTGCTTGGGAACACCGTTAGTGAGACAATTGGCAAACTGATCTATAGACCTCACAAAAGGTAAACAAATTTCTCCACTGACAACTCTTTCTCTGATGAAGTGCCAATCAACCTCTACATGCTTTGTACGACCTTGTTGGATAGGACTGCGGGCTATGTTTATGGCAGCTTGGTTATCACAATATAACATCATTGGAGTATCAATTTGTACTCCCATTTCTATCAACAAGTTCTTCAACCATAACAATTCAAAAACCCTATGAACCATAGCTCTACATTCTGTCTCTACACTAGATCAGGCCACAATAGATTGCTTCTTCTCCAATATACAACATTACCACCCATCAAGGTACAATAAGTAGAAGTAGAGCACCTATCATCAATAAAATCTGCCTAGTCAGCATTAGAATAGGCCTTAACGTTGAGATGCCCATGATCAGAATACGACATTCCTTTTGTTGGACACTTCTTCAAATAGGCAAGTATGATGCTATGCACTACTTACATATGAGAAGATCTGGGCTTATGCATATATTAACTAACCACACTCACAACAAATCTTTGATACACACCTTTGTTGGGAAGAACATCTCCATCATTAGCTTCCAACTTATGATTGGGATCAATTGGAGTTTCAACTGGTTTATAATCCAATCTTCCTACTTTCTGAAGAAAATCAAGAATATATTTCCTTTTAGAAATATAAATTCCCCTTTTTGGCCTTGCGACCTCAATCCCTAGGAACTATCGGAGATTTCCAAGATCCTTAATTTCAAACTTAGTAGCCACATTGCCATTGACTCTCCTAATAAACAAGGTATGGTCAGCTTGAGATTGCGTGAAGCCAATTTTCAAGATTGCATTTCTAAATCTGTCAAACCAAGCTTTAGGTGATTATTTAAGGCCATAAAGGGATTTTTGCAAGTGGCAAACCATGTTCACTCTTGGAAGAAGATCCATGTAAACCTTTTCCTAAAGGTGGCCATTAAGGAAGGCGTTCTTAACATCCATTTGATACAAGGGCCAAGAATAGTGGGCAGCAAGAGACATAATAACTCGAATCGAGTTTATCTTGGCTACAGAAGCAAATGTATCCTAGTAATTAATACCATAAGACTAAGTGTACCCTTTCTCCAGAAGGCGAGCTTTATACCTTTCAATTGAGCCATCAACTTTATGCCTCGCAGTGTAAACCTACTTACATCTAATAGGAACTTTATCTTTTGAGAGAGAAACAATTTCTCATGTTTGTTTTTTCTCAAGGGCCTCCATTTCCTAATTCATGGTATCTTTCCAATGAGGAAACTACATCGCCTCGATAACATTGTGAGGGATAAAAACAGAAGAAATGGAAGATATATAGGCACAATAGGAGGGTGATAAGGTATCATAAGAGTAATTTGATAGGATATTTAGCACATGTCCCTTTTGCTTTACAAACTGCAATAGGGAGATCAAGGTCAGAACTCACATTAGGAAGCTCAGTAACAGATTCAACACAAGCATCAGAAATAAGAAGAGATTCAAGTTCTAAATTACCCAAGTCTAGGAAGCTAGATTGTAATGGACATTCAAACTCTGAAGTCATCATCTTTTTCTGTTTGACAAACCATTGGTGTCAAGACCAAGGAATATGAGGAAACAAAGGAGGATGCACAGGAGGAGCACTACCACTACCACAAGCAAGAGGAGAGGAAGAGGGGGACCAACAATATCAGGAATAAGTAGGCATACAGAAAGGAGTTCGCTCTTCACTGGAGATGAAGGGTCTACTCATTCATTGCAATTTTTCTCGAAAGATTTGGTGGCATTTCTTAAGCCTGACTGGATATAGTTGGATCTCTCCAAAGCATATTCAAGAGTTCCTCAATCAGTGGCATGGGTCAGGCTTGAGCAGAAGATGTAAAGTGTATTGGCAAACTGTGGTACATGCAGTATTGTGGGGAATTTGGGAGGAAAGAAACAGGCACATATTTGAAAACAAAATCAGATCTCTAGAAGAATTAATTTTAGATATATTTTTTTTGTTTTAATTTTTGGGCTGTTAATTCTGAGATGTTTCAGGGCCTCTCTCTCAATGATCTTAACAGATTAATTTTTGCTGTTTAAGTTCTCTTTCCTTTGTTCAGTACATCTGCTCATGTACTCCTTGTTCTATTTAATGAAATCTGGTTAACTTTTTCTCAAAAAAAAAAAAATGAAGGGTCTACGAGGGAAGTCTATTAATAAGATCTATGGATGTTTAAGCAGCGTCTCCCCAAAATCGAGTTGGAATATGCATATGGAATAACAATCCTATTGCCACTTCAACAATATGTCTGTTTTTTCTTTCCTGTTGAAGATTAATTAGTTTTATGATGTTTTTCTGAGTAGATGTTTTATGTTAGTTGTTAGATAGGAGGTGGGGACCACAATAGTTATGTGAGT